GGCGTGCGGGGGCAGGTGGGGCGGGGCCGGGGGGGGGGGGGACGGGCGCGTGGACGTGCGGGCGGCGGGGGGGGGGGGGGGGGGGAGGGAGGGGGGGTAGTGGGCGCAAATTTTTACCCCTATATACTTCAACACTCTCTTTTAGATCGTGTTTCACAAAAAAGTTCGGAAGTGAATAAGGCAAAGTACTCGTGAATCGTGCTTAGATGCAAGTAACGTCACAGTCTTATAGACTTCGTTTGATTCAATCCGAACTATATCCAGATATACATAAAAAGAAGATTTTTTAGGGAATTAGCAACTATAGATAGATAGTGCTTCACATTTTAATCCCACAGGGATTGCGCTAACAGCTTTTTTATAAGAATTGATCAATGCATAAAAATCCGCAAGTCTATCATTTTAGCGTGATTTGAAGATAATCATTATGGGATATACTGTAAAATAAATTCTTCAAACAACTTCTAGAGAACTCTTAAAAATATAATGCTTTCTTTTAAGTGAAAGATATATGCGTATTGTGCAAGGACGTTCGAACATATCGTTGATACTTATATCCTTGTCTAATAGCACTAGGGATGCAACGGTGACGATCAAAAACCGTTCCACCGTCACCGTTTCACCGCTTGAGACCGGTGAAACGGTGGAGCGGCGCACCGGTGGACCGGGGCCCGGTCCATCGATGTGCCGGTCAATCGGTTAGATCGACCAAACAGTAACTAGTGGAAGCTGACGTGAGACTTAGCAGTGCTCGAAGTAGCTTACTGATATTCAGGAGATTGTAAGTAAAAAATAGGGATGCAACGGTGACGATTAATCGTTCACCGTTTCACCGCCCTGACCGGGGCTCGGTCCACCGTTTCACCGGTTTCAAGAGGTGAAACTGTGAACGATTAATCGTCAGCGTTGCTTCCCTAAATAGCACTGTTTCTAGAGTCTAGATGAACTATGGACTAAATCTTGTATTAAATGAAATGCTTCGAATTATATTTGACTTTTTCTTTTATTGTGACAACATACTTTCAACTTGTGCTTTGGGACCGGTCGCCGATGATTCTAATCCAGGTGATGCAACAAAGGTAATTTCCGGTTCAATTTCTTTGAGCTGAACAATATGTAAGCCTTTTGCCGGGTTTAGTCGACCTAGAACTTTGAAACAAGATCCAGGCATCAAAATGACTTCGTTCTCTTTTTTCCCAAAATGCGAATGTGCCTTGACATGTTTGCCATTTAGACATTCAATTTGAAATATCGTTCGTTCGCCTTTCTTCCCCAAAAATTTCTCATTATCAAGAACTTCTAAACTGGTAGTGCACGAGCTCACACCCCACCTAAAATTGTTCAAATATGATAATATATCCTTCTGATCAAATTAGCTACATCAGTAAAAATTAGTCTCCAATTTTCGAATAATATCAAGACGACCTCGCTTCCAACCAGATATTTATTAGTTAAATCTACACCACGCACACCACGCCAGACATTCTGAGCACGAGATGGAAGTTTGTGAAGAGCGGTTAGAAACAATTTTAAATACAGAAACCACGCTCTTAAATTTGTCCGATCTTCAGCCCGTAACGTACGATTGAGTACATAATAAAAACTAGGCTCTGAGTCAAATTCCATTGTATATAGATGGATCGAAGCGGACTCGTCTTGTGTAAGACCATCTTCTGGTTTCTCGCAATTTTTCCGAGCGACAAATACGTATGGCTGAATATCTTCAAATAGGTTCCGGATCGGCACCATTGCTTCTGTCAATGAGACAATTCTTTCTCTTTGATAGCCCTTAATCGGTGCTAGAAGATGAGTGACGGGTTCATCAAGTAAGTCAGTGTAACGAGAAACAGCGATATTTCCTGCAGTTGCGCCTGCCATCTTTACAATGGCGAAGTAAATCTTACAAAGAAATTGTCTTACGTTGGAATGTTATTTTCGATCACGAAGAACAATGAACCAACTTTTTCTTGCCTATTTTCATACCAACGAAATTGTAGTAAGACATTTTCGCCCGATGTTTTTTTTGCTTCTTTCGATTAAAAATCAGACAGAGAAACCAAAAAAAAGCAACTAACTGTATAAAACAAACAGTTCACTCTAAGCAACAAAGAAATCATGATCCTCAAAAAGAGTGAAATTGTGAAAGCAACTCTGCATACGTTGCTGACTTGAAAAAGCAAACAGTGAGAAACTATCCACTTTATTTAACTGTGGAATGACAAATAGATCCTTTAGTGCTGAGCAGCTTGAGGCTATGGCAAGTTCCTATTTCCAGGAAATTCAAATTTCATTCAATCAACATTAAGAAAATAGATTATGTAACGGAAGCATTCCCTACTCTACTTGCAGATGATGTTAGAGCTAGTGAAGCAACCGCACGATAAATCATAAAAGTGAATGAACCACACATATATACTCTTAACGGTCGAAAGTAACGGTTGGTATAGAATAGAAACTGTACTTAGAAAGTATGTACACATTTTTCGGTGAGGTTGGGTTCAGTGAGGAAATTCATTTGAGTTTCCAAGTGTCTATAATTCTTTCGGGTGGGTTGGGTTGGGTGGGGTTGGGTTGGGTTGGGTTGGGTTGAGGGAGGCTGTGGGTGTGGATGTGGATGTGGGTGAGGGTGTGAATGTGGGTGTGGGTGTGGATGTGGATGTGGGTCTGGGTGTAGGTGTGGGTGTGGGTGGGTTGGTTGGTGTGCGTGTGATTTGATGTGGGGAGTGGGTGGGAGTGTATGTAGGAGCAGTGTTTCCAATGGAAATTCAAAGCAAAATGTACTGTACACCCGGTATTTTATTAGCTCAGTGTATTTTTCACTTTGTTTTTTTTAGCAAAGTGCATAAAAGTGTACGAATGGCAAATTTTCGCAATTTAACAAACAAAATATAATATTCGTCATTTTTTCTTTCATGAGGAAAATATTTTTATCTCTAGCAAACAAATAAAAGTAATTTTTAATTAATTTAAAATCATATGTGGCTTTTGAGGTTAAAAAAATCAAAGAAATCAAAGTGTAAATTATTTTAGCAAAGTGCACATTGTACACTTTGTTTTCCTGCATAACTGTACAACAAAGTGTAAATCAAAAGTAGCAGCTGTTCCGTACATTTTGCTTCTGCTTGGTACACTTGCTATTGGAAACACTGGGTAGGAGTTCTCTCCAAATTCACGCCCACACCCACACCCACACCCACACCCACACCCACACCCACACTCACACCCCACCTAAAATTGTTCAAATATGATAATATATCCTTCTGATCAAATTAGCTACATCAGTAAAAA